ACAGCTGGCGGGCCCTGAGTTATAACTAGGAAAGAGGCACTTGCTACTTCTTATCTGAAAGCGAACACACCCATTGGTTCACTCTCTCATTTAGGCATTCTTTAAAACAAATTTCTTTTGTGTCTCTTCTAGATACAGGGTTTTCCCCTTTTCATGACCTATGACAGACCATGGAACAATTGCCTTACAAGCGCAGGGTGTAGGCTGGTTGTCTTTCTCAGAACTGAAGGTGGAATGCAAGATAACAGCTGCCTCCATGCAATTATCATATTTGAGGGAATAGTCCTGGGTTTTGGTTTTGGGAGTTTTGTTTTTGTTTTGGTGCAGGAATTGATCCGTGTCTCAGACTATTTGCTAAAGCTGAAACAGATCCATATTGTGAACCTTTAATACAAAGTTACTTCACACCCTTGTGTAATGATGCTCAGGTCTGACTTAGCTCGAACTATGCTTGTGCTGGGTTTCACACACTTTTTTTTTTCCAATTTATATCCTGCCTTTTTCCTACAAAGGGCTCAAGGCAGCTTACATCATTCTCCTGCTCCACCTTATCCCCACAACAACAACCCTGTGAGGTGGGCTGGGCTGAGAGTCTGTGACTGGCCCAGAGTCACCCAGTGGGCTCCATGGCCGAGCGGGGACTCGAACCCGGATCGCCTGAGTCCCACTCCCAGGCTCTTAACCACTGCGCCACACTGGCGCTCTAACCCTGGCCTGGCCCTCAAACTGTAATGGTGCATTAGCCACTGCCATTCATGCTGGCTCATTTCACCGATTGCCCTTGCCAAGGGTGGCTTGTCACCATGTGCAAACCGGGAGACGATGGGATGGCTGGTTGCGAACAAGCCAGGCAGCAGCCCTGCAATGGAGCCTGAGTTCTGGGTGATTCGTTAGCCACTCCAGCTGCCCGCCATCGCCTGCTTTGCATGTCAAACTGTGCCCAGTGAGGTTAACTCGGGAAATCAGGTGATTGACTGCGTGCCTGGCTGATCAACCGTCATTGTGGCATATTAACCATGTGACCCTGGCCATGTCCTTCCTCTTCTTGCATTGGGCTCTATGGCTTCAGTCAGTCTTGCAATGCAAACTGTACAGCCCTAGACAGAAGCAGCTTGTGGGGAGAGGGGCAATACACTGCCCAAGCCAACAGGGGGGAGTTATACCAGTGACTGCTTAATGAGGTATTCACTCTCAGATTAAGAAGCTTGGAAGTTAATTAAGAGGTGATGAGGAGATGAGGTGTGATGATTCAAATATTTTCAAGAACAAATCGTACGAAATAATTTGGAGCAGATTCACCCAGATAAGGAGATGTCTGCTGTCATATGAGCAAAAGGAGCTTGATATCTTTGCCCGTGGTTGCTTTGCTTCCCTGCGTGATTGGATGCATTTCTTCCACAGACCCTGGAACAGATTTGTGCTCTCATATTAGAAGATTCTGCCCTCTCGGCAGTGGCTGCTTGGCTTTCTGCACTCAATAAACAAGCATCAATCTTTTTTTTTTTTTTTTGGTAGAGGGGTTGCCAGGTGGCTACCTGAACAAGTGATCACCCTAGCTGTGCACACCTTCACGGCAGGGGTAACGGTCTGTGGAAAATATTTGTCCAAAAGAACAAGGGAGAGTGCAGTGGTTAGGAGATGCTTCATGACGTGCTGATTGCGTGTGCATAACATGCTAAGGCCAGGTGGCTTTAAAGCCACAGTTGTTTAGCATGTGGTCTGAAGCTATACCGTTGCCATGTAATGGTTTCTCAGTGGAAGCTGCAGGTATGCCACCCCCAGCAGGACCCCCGGGAACCTCCCCCCCCTATTCAGTGCCCAGCATATTTTTCCACCACCCCCCCCCCCCCCGCCTCCGCCATCAGGGAGCTCTGTCAGGGATGGGTGCCGGCTCTAATTCATTGCCCTCCCCCCACCGCACTACATTCCTCTGCACCTGCTTCAATTCTCACATTGAAACTGTGTTTTTTCCCTCATTAAGTAAGGCAGAGCTGGACATGCTTTGCCAGGTACCCCTTTAAGGATGCTAGCGCTACAATGCCGCAGCCCGGAGATGCCTGCGCGCTGTGAGGGGCACCGAGCAGGGGGTGCCTGGGAAGGCTCCCTTTCCTTTCTGGGAAGATGGAGCAAGGGACTGCAAGTAGCCGGTCACCTGCCGCTACCTCCACGCTTGGCTGCTGAGGCAGAAAAGTCCAGGTGCGCCTGTGTGTGCCGTGGATGCGAGTGGTCCCTTTCTGAACCCCCGCAGTCGGCCTGGGATGCATCCGCCTGGCAGCCGCCTGCACTTCGTTACAGAAGTCCGTCTCTCAAACCGACAGTGATTGCTCCAGTTCAGGTTGCCTGTTCTCAGACAGTCCCAGAGTTTGCAGCATTATTCCATGTACAGACTCCCTGACTTTGTTCAGTCTCAAGTATCTGAGTTCAGCAGTGACAAACGAATCCGCAGCTGCCTGGGGTATGCAGTGACCAGGACCAGCTGGTGCATTTTGTCCTCAAAGTTTCCTTGATCCCACTCTATACCCAGGAGATTTCAAGCAGAGGCAATTAGCTAGAACTCTCCTTTTTTCCTCTTGGAAGAAATAAGCTTGGAAATCAGAAAACTAAATTTAGTTCTGCACACCCATTTTGCTTCACATAACAATTTCCCCTCCTCTGTCACTGTAGCAGGACAGATCAGCTTTGCAAAGCAGTAAAGCATCGGTCATTCCCTGCAGTGGTTATATTGCTGGCTAGGCTAACCAGTCCCAGAAATAGCCAGCATTATCACGGTCAAAATAATCCCATTTCCTTAGGCTTGATCACATGCATGAGCGCATGGACCAGTGTGACAACAACGGCGCAAGAGGTAGTGTAGCACTGCTAGAAAAACTCAAGAAACAATCACAGCAACTCCCCTTTGGTAGATGCATAGAACATATTTGCATAAGATGCTCCCTTGTAGCAGGGGAGATAATTCCCCCCTCTATTATCCCCTATTCTGGCGGGCAGAGATTCCCGCAGGTTCTTAAGCAGAATGTTTGCTCTTTGCTGATCCTTTGCACCGGGCATGTGACGGAGTGCAGGTTCTCTCCCACAGAACTCTTTCCAATGCCATTGAATAAGGATTATGTCATTTCATGGCTTTCTACGTGCTTGACATTTGCCAAGAAAAGGGTTGGAGCAGGCCCCTGTGGCTGCATCACTAACAGGAAAATGAGCCTCAGCAGCGCTGTGAAAAATACCACCTGATTTTTGCGGGTCAAACTCCTGCTAAAGGAGCAAGAGAGCCCTCCAGAGAGAACGTCATCCTCCTTTCCTGCTAACTCCCAAGAGATTCCAGCCAGATAACCAGTCCTTGTCCTGAAAGGGGGCTTCTATTTGCCCTACACAGGTCCTAATGATGATGGGCATTGTGATAGGGGAAGAAAGTATGTCCCATGCACATGGGCAACGCACACACCTAGCATTAATAGTATGGCTAGGATACACCTTCAACAACTGTATAAAAAGAAGGAAGGTCATCAGGTGTGGCAACCCAAGAATAACTGCCAGTGGTTACTAATCCTGATGATTATGCACTGCCTCCAGTATCGGAGGGAGTATCTTTTTGTATACCAGTTGCGCTTACACTCAACTTGTGGATTCCCCACAGGCAGCTAGCTGGCCACTTGCAAGCAAAATGCTGAACTAGCGGAATGATCCAATCAAGCGTGGCATTTTTATGCTCTTGCTGAACGTCTATCCAACCTATTAAAGGCACAGAGGGCTGCCCTCTTTTTCGTGACCATACTTTCCAGAATGGGGAACAAGGATTCATTATGTCTTCAATGAACCTGAAAGAGGAAATGGAGAATCAGGGGTTGGGGGAGGCTCTTTGAGCATTGCTGGCTAGTGAATGAAGGCAAAAGCAACCTGGAACCTCGCTTCTTTACAGACCTGGGGAAGTTCTGCCACATCTTGGATAAAGATCATTATCCATCCCAGAGAGCACTGAAGGTTAATTAGCTAATGGCCTTAGGCAGCTTAGAAATCTTAAGTGCTGTTCTCACAGTCACCACTGGAAGATCCTGTAACTAATACTTCTGCAGGAGTAAAGTATTAATTAGCTAAAATTCTCTTCCATGCTTTTGCATTCTAAAATCCTCTGTGTGCTGTTGTCTGCACAGCTGATAACTAATACACCCAGCATTCACGGAGAGCCCTCATGTCCCAGCAAAGATTGATCTTCTGCTTAGCAGGATGAGTGGCAGTGAAAATATAAGATGTGTGCTTTTTTGCAGCTAAGGAACTATGCATGGATTTAAAACATTCACCGTGTACATTTTCATGTTTGGTTTGAATTAGTTCAATTACCTGTTGCTTTGTTTGTGCTTATCTGAGCTGTGTCTTCTCAAAGATCCTGGAAGCGCTCGCTCCCTCTCCGCACACGCACACACCCCAGTGGGAACAGCAGCCACACGCTGCGACATGCATAGCCCCTGTTGTTTGGAGCAGACACTCCTGTACGCAAAGAGCTGCCAAAGGACTGTCTTTTATTTGAAGACATCCTTTATTCAAAGAGTTAGCATGTCCAGTTTCAAGATAAAGAACCAGCATGGTGAGGTGTGCCATTAACTCTTTACATGGGAACAATGATATAAAAGAGCAACTTCTAGGCAAAGCACTGCCCCTTTGGGTCCTCTTTTTGGTGATGCAGTTCCTCTTTTTTGAGCATGCGGAAAAGGCCGCCCTGTCCAGACATATTGAACTACAATTCCCAGAATGCCCCAGCAGGCATAACAAATGTGGGCACATCTAGGGGGCACTCCTCTTGAGGACACAACCTGGCCTCTCCCTCACTGACCAAGCTCATCCCAAGTCTATGTGTCTATATACAAAGAATACCCCTGCATGAAGAATTCCCATGGGTCATTACAGGATGCCTTGCTATAATAAGCAACTCACAGCATCTCTCATAGCTGGGTACTTTGCTAGTAAAGACATTTTTCAAAACGAGAAACAACCACGCCAAGTCTTTCACACCGTTTACAGCGGACCACAAACGAGGTGGTCTTGAGGGCTCCACTAGAATCTCCAGCCATCGCCGTCCTACTGCTCCACCTTGGAAACTGACCTTAGGAGGGGTTTGCCTTCTTTATCAAACCAGTAAGTACTTATCTCTTCCTCAGAGTTACCTGCCTTCAGAGCCATCCTGAGCTTAGCCCAGAACAGCTTCTGAGCCTCAGGCTCTGGGGGCCATGTGATATATGTCTTCTTCAGCATCACCTTCCGCATCTGGTGGTAGGCAGAAAGCTCTCGCTCTGGGATAGTCTCAATGAAAACTGGAATAAGGACATCTTTCAACTCGTCAAAGAGACGGTAGCTGGCCAGCTGGATCTCCATGGAGCACCACTCACTTTGCAGATAGCTCCTGCTGATGATGCAGATGGTATGTCGACTGTTATGAATGCTATTAATGATGTTGTCTATGATGTACTTCCCTGGCTGAAAGTCCCTGTGGTGGAGGCAGAGCCGAAAGATGGGTCCCTCTCCTTTCTCCAGGCTGGGCACCAGCTGCTCCAGCACCCAACTCTCGTCCCTCGAGTTATAGGAGACAAAGGCATCAAACTGATAATCCTCATCCTCGCCTCGCCTCCAGTGACTGTTAACCCAAGCACGCAGGATGTAGAGATGGTATTTCAGCTGCCAATAGGTACGGTGGTAGAGGACAGGTAGCAGCATGTGGAGGAGCAAAACAGGGAAGGTGATGGAGAACAGGTACAGCCCTATATCTTGGAAACAGACGTGGGTATCGAAACTGTACACATAACTGGAGTGCTGCCCAGAGTTGCAGGTATAGTTGTACAGGTAAACCACCTGCACCTGGCTGTTGTTCAGCCACTTCTGGAACCAAATGTTGTCACAGGTGCAACTCAGTGGACACTTGCGTAGGTCAAGGTATCTCAGTGCAGGCAGCTTTTCTATCACACTGCTATTGAATGTCTGGAGTTCGTTCTTTCCTAGTTGCAAATTGCGTAGTTTAGTGAGATTTCCAAAGACCTCTAGAGTCAAGGTATGGAGGCCAGCATTCTCCAAGTTGAGACTTTTCAAGTTTCTCAGATTCTTGAATATACCTGGCGGGAGGTTTCCCATGCCATTACTGCTATCAACCAAGCTCAGGTATTCCAGCTGTCCTAGGTCATCAAACACATCTGGTGCAATGGAGAGAATCTTGTTTTCAGACAGGTAGAGGTTACGTAAAGAAGTCAGGCCCTTGAAGAACTTGGGTGGAATGATCTTCAGACCATAGGGTTGCTGAGCTTGGAGCTTGAGATCATAGACCAGGTGCAGGTTCATGAAAGGGGTTGGGTTGTGTTGTGTCATGCTGATGTAGTGTATCTTGTTGCTCATTAAGTCCAACACTTTGAGAGTTTTCTCCACCGGTTGGAAGAAGCTGTTGGTAATGTATTCAATACGATTGCGGTCCAGGTAGAGTTTGGAGAGATTCTTTAGTCCTTCAAATGACACGCTGGTCAACCTGCGGATATTGTTCCCCCCCAGGTCTAAGATACAGAGGTTCCCAAGGTTCCTGAAGATGCCATGAAAGAGGACAGAAACATGGTTGTTCCGGAGATTGAGTGTCTGGAGACTGCTCAGATCCTCAAAGCTCCCCTCATAGAGATCAGTTAGTAGGTTGTTATCCAGACGCAACTCTATGAGTTGCTTTAAGCCCTTCAAGGCTTGTCTATGCAAGAAAGCAATGTTGTTGATGTTGAGGTGGAGAATCTTCAGATTAGGGGCAAACTGGAAAGCGAAACTACTGACGTAGATGATGCGATTGAAACGGAAAGATATGGTCCTCAACTCTTTTAAGAAAGAGCCTTTAGAGCACGACCTTAGTCTGTTCAATAGGTTGTGCTCCACAACCAATGTTCTCAGCTTATTTTGTACTGTCGCATTCAGCATCTCCCTTACACACCCTACTGATCTGAGGCGATTCTTTGAAAGATCCAGCAGCAAGATAGGCGGGCATGTCAAGAAAGTGTTTCTGCTTAGGTTCCTGAGGTTGTTGCTTTGCAGAAATAGATTCATAGGAAGGTTGGATTTGCTAAGATGCAGGCACAATCTGGTCAACTGTGCGAATTTATTCAAATGCAGCCCAGAATAATCCAGGCTGTGAGACTGCAGACCAGAAATATTCAAGAGCTGGAAAACATCTATGTTGTTACCCAGCAGCTTCAGACGACTGAGGTTCCGGAAGCTGACTCTTGCAAAGGAAGAGACATTTGAGATCTTGTTAAAAGAAAGATCCAGCTGTTGTATGTTCCACAGGAACTCTGGCCCTTTGGTTTCTACCTGGTACAGGGAATTGTTGCACAGCAGGAGGGTGGACAGGGAGAGGGGAAGCTGCGCCTCAGACTCGAGGGAGGTGAAATTGTTATTGCAAAGATTCAGCCGCCGCAGCTCTGTCAAATTCTGAATGCTCTGAGCGATTCTTTGGAAGCTCCTCAAGTCGTTGAACTGGAGCTCTAGGTTCCCAAGATGCTGCAATGGGCTGAATGTGTCCTGATGTATTGTGCGCAAGTGGTTGTTGTGCAAAAGAAGGTTGCTGAGGTTGGCCAGACCCTGGAACACAGCTCCAGACAGAACTTCGAGTCCATTGCAAGAGAGGTCGAGGGTCTCCAGGGCTGTCAGATTCTCAAAGGCCCCATCTTCAATCATCCACATTTTGTTATAACTGAGCTTCAGGACGCTCAGATTTGGGAGGTGGTAGAAGCTCCTGTAAGGCAAGAAGCGAATGGAATTATGGGACACGTTGAGTATGCCGGCGTAGCTGGGAAGGTCGTCCACAGCACTGGAGATACTCTTCAGGAAGCGCTGCATGCACTTGAAGTACTGTGGATTCCACATGGATTGGATGCAGTTTCTGAAACCATAGCCAGCCGCTTCTGGTGCATTAATCAGAACAAAAGCCAGGAGAAGATGCGGGAGACCTCTGTAACTCATCGCTGTGTGGGATCCTCAGCACCAAAGGCCTCTGTGGCATCCCCAAGGGGAAAACCTACAACCGAAGAAAATAAACGGCGTGAGCCTTTCGAATGCAATGCGGAACCATTTGGGAGCCATTGCGTTAACGTTAGCGACATCTTCAAAGTTTACATATACCATACACTAATCACACCCTTTGAAGGGCATCCATGAAGGAACTAGGAAAGAGAATCACATGCAAGGATGTTTCACCGGAGAGCAAGGCCAAGATCCTCCATACTATTGTATTTCTGATCACTGTGTATGGGTGTAAAAGCCGGACAGTGAAGAGAGCTGACAGGAAGAAAATTGATGAGTTTGAAACATGGTGCTGGAGGACAGCTTTGTGAATGCTCTGGAGTGACAGAAAGACGAACGAGTGGTCCGTTCATCAAATCAAGCCAGAACTTGCCCTGGAAGCAAAAATGATGAACCGAGGCTGCCATAGTCTGGGCACATCATGAGAAGACAGGACTCCCTGGAGAAGAGAGTAGTACTAAGGGGAGTCAGAGGCAGCAGCCGGAGGATCAGCCCCATAAAGGAGTCCCCTGAATGTACAGGAGTTGAGCAGTCATTCTTGGGGCCAGGATAAGTCAGAGATGACTTTATGGCATGTATCAACAGCAGTTCACACACTCCGTAAATTCTGTACCAAGGCAATTTAGTGGGCTTTAATCTTTAATCAAAGAGCTCTTTCAGTGCAATATTAAGCAAGCCGACTCCCAAGTAAATCCCACTGTGGTCTGTGGGATTTATGCACAGGTAAGTGCATATAGGATTACAGACTGAAGGTTTGGGACAGATAAAAGGAAGGATTTCTTCCCACAATGTGTAGTTAAGTGGTGGAATTCACTGCCAGGGGAAGTGGTGATGGCCATCAGTTTGGATGCCTTGAAGAGGAGATTGGGCAGAGTCATGAGGAAGGAGGCGATATCAGTGGCTACTAGCCTTGCTGGCCAGGTGCTGCCTCCTTCACCAGAGGTGGCCTGCCTGCCTGGGCCAGTTGCTGAGGAGCTTGGGCAGGGGGAGGCCTCGCACCCATCCTGCTGGACGGATCTGGAGGACAGCTGATTTGCCACCATGTGTATGGAGTGCTCAACTGGACGGCCCTTTGGTCTGATCCAGCAGGGTTTTTCTTACGTTCTCATGAATGGGATCTAGTGACGGGCATCAACCGTGTCTGGAGCCGGCTGAAGCTAAGGCAGCCGCACTTCTGCGGCCCTGCTGCCGGATCAGCAGCTCTGTCATCTGGCTGTGCTGACCAAGTACATTCGCCTTGGCTTTTGCTTTCCCTGCATAACTGTAAATACAACCAATCTTCCAAAGATGACGTAAGCCTCCCGTGCCCTGTTACCTAAAGGAACTTCTAACCCTTAAAGTGCTACCCCTGGATTTTTCACTGCTCTGGAATGTATTAAGAACAACCTGCCTCTTTCCCCTGACCCACCTTGAATCTTCCATCTCCAAAGCCAGTGAGAAAAAGACAGTTCAGACATGTTCAAGAAAAACTGCAAAGCATGTGATGACAAAGGGCGTGAGAAGAAAAGAAATGCTGGCCGTGTACTTCATAACCAGGGCGATTCACTCAACCATCCGAAAGGGCCCCCTGTTAAACCAGAAAGTCCAGAGGCTAAAATTACTTAGCCAAGCCACTGAGAACAGCGGGAAGATGCGCGACACACAGATGCATAGATCGCCACTGTCAGCAGCCAGAACTGCGACAACGGTCGAATGCAGAGTGCAAAGTAAATGTGGCACAGAAGAACTTGAGATAAAATGGAGAAATTCAATCATGCAACCAGAGACTGAAAAATGTTTGAGCTTTACGAAGAAAAGATGACCGGAAGTGGCCTTCCATTTAGTAAGACCCAGTGTTGGCAATAATGGCACTGCACCATTTCAGGCAGGTTTTTCCAGCCCTGGAAACTTGGGGGCTTTTGCTTGCAAAGCAGGGACTCAGCCAAGGTATTTGGGGCTTCTTCGCCTTTTTTAAAAGAAGCAAGGAAGGAGGTTCATGACTGAGTGCATAAAATTATGCTTCACTTCTACCTGATCTCTCCTTTTCTCTTTTTACAACCTCTCCACTTTATATTTCCTTCTTACATACCTAGGCTTCTGCTAAAGTCTTTCAGTCCTGTTCTATTGTTGGCCAAACTAAAATGCTGTAAAACTGAGCGCATTTTTAAACACACACACATCAGCGTCTTGCAAGTTGACTGGCTGGCTGCAGCCTGAACCAGTTCCCGACAAGGTGCTGTCCTCATTATTTAAAATATGCACAAGGATCGATGATGCACTCACTCTAAAATTAAAAAAAGGAAAGGAAAGTACATCGCTCCTGCTCTGATGCTACCGGTTTATGAGAACAGCTCTCCTTTTCTTTCACTTCCTCTCTAGGCACATATAAGCCCCCTCTGAGGTGGGGATTTCTGTTTTTTGAAAAGCTTCTGCTTTCTCAGATTAGCAGCTCCTATGGCTCCATTTTCTGCTTAGGAGTACCACTGGCCTGTGCTGCCCAGGACTTCTCCTGGCAGATGGTGGCAGAGACAAACTGTTCCATCACTATCGTTTTGGCTGGGACGAGTATACTGGGGCACCAGAATCTTCCTTGGCTGGGGTCCTTGGAGCCCTAGTCCCAGATCTTTTCCCTAGACCCTAAAGTGCCCATTGGTGCAATGGAAGATTTCCCCCCTTAGCTTAAATGCCACTTCAGCAATCATCATGGGGTCTTGCAGCTGCAGTGGGGTGAGTTAACCCTTTCCCCCAAATGCTGCAATTCTCCACCTAACTCCACCTCTGCACAATAATGAAATTGGGTGGGTGGGTGGGTGGGCGGGCAGGTACTTCATTAAAGATGTCATGTTATTCTTTTAAAAATACATTATTGTTTTCGGCAATCGCATTTATTTCCAAGTAAATATCTTCAGCACGGGGAAAGCAGAAACAAACTTTGTCGTATCCTTGTCGTCATGATGGTGCTCTAACTTAAGTGAGTAAAAAAGCAAGATTGCACATGCTAAGAGTATTTCTCTTTTTCAAGGCCTGCAAGCACTTCTGTTCAGGTTTGCTTGCACATGGCAGGAATGTAGAAGCAGTTGCACGGAACATGGAACAGCAACTGGGTGAGAATGGCCGCTTCGAAAAGGAAGTAGATGAGCATAACACACTAAAGGGGGCCCGTTAAGCCCAGCGTCCACAGTGACGTAGCCGCACCGTGGCTCCCATCCGCGGGGGCCTCCAGTCCTCGCGCCTGCCCCATTCCTTACTAATTTGGGATTGAAAAGTGAGCACTGATTGGACGGGTCATCAAAGAAGAGGCTGCTGGACCTCCCAGAGCAGGACAAAGATATGTGACTGACGGGGTTAGACGAGGTCTCCAGCCATCCCCTGCCGTGAAAGATCGAGTCACTAGTCCATCTAGCAGCCACCCCCAAAGTCCCCAGGGGAGCCCTTTCCCAGCTTGTGTGTTGTGTGTGCTTTGGGTTTATGTGCTGTCGGTTCTCCCTCTGTGTGTGTGTAAGAAAAGGTGCTTCCAAAGAGATAGCTGGTTTTTGCTTGCTACCAAGCAAAATGTGCCGTACCTTTCCTTCCTTCACGGATTTTCTGTTGAAAGAAAAAAGCTGGAAATGGGTAAACAGAGGAGGGACGCGAATGCAAGTCAGACCTCTGGATCCCCGTAGAGTTCAGTCAATGCAGCAGTAAAAACCTCATTTGGCAGCAGCCAGAGTTCAGTCCCTGTGAGTTTGCTCGCACCCATCACTGGCAGGCAGCTCCTTCACGGTTAGTAGCTCTGCTCTAGGAATTGATCTGGGGGCCTTCTCCATGCAAACTACCTGCCCTCCCATTGAGCTTTGGTAAATAAAAGCGTCAAAAGGGGGGTTCTGAAATGGGAGAAGGGGCTGGGGCTGGAGTGTGATTCTTCCCCATCGCCCTCCCGCTCTCCTTCTCCCCCTCCTCTCAAACTGTCCTGGGGCAAAATATGGCATGGAAATCCCAGACTGTATCATACACCATTTTAAATGGCACATCTTCTTAATGTCTTACCTATGGGGTATAATGAGATTGCATTTGCTGAGCATGATGGGCTTGCGCCTGGCATAGGCAAGTAGGGAAGGCATTGTCTCTTTGCTAAGGTGGCCTGCTTTACAAAGCACAGTCCTCTCTTTGAAGATCTCCGATGGGCTGGGCTGGCCTGTCCAGGTCTGGTGTGCAGTCAAAAAGCTGCAAAGAAGGCAGAGGCGTGGGCATTGCCCATCGGTGTTTATCCCCAGGAGCTCAGCTTGAGAAACTTCCTCATTAAGGTGGGATGTATTGTATTTCCACTGAAATTATACTTATTGTTTCTAAATTTGCATGCATACATTTGCATGTATCCATTTTTACGTGCAAATTTGCATGCATGCAGTGGTATGAACACCGGTGTCCTTTTTGTGCTGCATGAATGGGCTGCGTCGTTTTTTGCCATGCTTCCTGGCAAGCAGTGTGACCACTGGTGATGCATGGAAGCAGCCTGGGTGAACTGAAGCAGGGGCACTTTCCCAGTGATAACGAAGCCGTTTTCACCTATGCAGAACCCATACGCTAAATTCCACCCACAAGGTTACCTTGATACAACAAAAGTGAGTCTGACCTTAGAGAGCCATCGAAGAACAAGGCAATTCTCTCAAAAGAAAGAAAAGCCGTTCAAGAGGAATGCTCAGCCCTTTCCCTCCCATTAGTTTCCCCCTCCAAATCTTTGCCTGCCACACTTTCCTCTGACAAGGTTCATCATGGAGAAGCCCCACGAGAGGGGAAGGAACCTGAGGGGAGCAGCGATTGGGAACAGTGGCGCTTTGGATGGGAAGCGTCTCCTTGCACCTTCTCCACTCCCAATTCTAGTCTGCTTTGGCAGTTGATAAAAAAGGGTGGAGATCATGAGACTCAAATAAGCATTCTTGTATACAACTTGCCGTTGGCCTCTAGACACTCTCTGGCTTTTTTTGGCTGCCACCAGACAGTTTCAAGCGTGTGCGTGTTCAAGTAGCAATTTCCTGATTCTATTTCTTTATGGCAGGTGGGGCAGGTAAACATTAAAATCAGTGAGCTGCACTTCTAGACACACTTTCCTGAGAGTGAGTGAATGGGCCCCTCAGTTGATATACTGTAAATGAGGGGAAAGAAATCCCAGCTGCTGCCTTTCCTTGCCACATGTGATGACTAATTGTATTACATGACTTGGTATCCAGCAAAAAAGTCGCTTCGGCAACTCACCAAGCCTCAGAATTTGTCTGAAGCTGACCTCCTTCCCTCAGCTCTAATTTGGTTACATCAGTCTTCCTTTTCCATTCATATGTTACATAACCTCCGAGAGTTTCATTATACAGCCACGCTGGTAGATCCTGGAATTTGTTATCGATAACTGTGAAACCATTCTGAAAGACGCCACCAAACTGCACATAGGTAATGCCACCAAACTTCTCTGGTCATATTTATTATCAGTGGAGCCACTGCCCAAATTAAGAGGCAGAATAGCCAACATTGCTTTTTTTTTTTTTTTTTTTGGCTGCCTCTTCTTCCTTGAAGTGCTGACATGAACTGGCACAAACGCATCTCCCCCTGCCATGGCAAAGCTTCGCTGCTGATATTTGCTGATTAGCTTGCTTTCCAAGGCAAAGGAGCAGGTCAGGCTGGCAGCCGAAACCTGGACTGTCCTCATTATACCTTCTTTCCCACAGCCTTCCAGCATCCTCCCAGAACCCTTCTCTTGCCCCCTTTCATGGTTCCATTACTTCTCCAATTTTGCATTTGGGATCTAATTTAGATGAGACGTGAGCACCAGCAATCCCATGCTCTTGCCGAGCGGCATTTATACCTTACTGCCAATGTGGTGATAAGATGTTTTGCAGTATTTATTCTGCTCACAAGTTCATGGCATTCTAAGGATTCCCAGCAGCAGAATTGTTCTCTTTGACGTGCAGTCAGCAAAAGCAATGTTTGGGCGTTAAGAGCATCCAACCAGGCACTACCAACATTGGGTCCAGGATCCCAGGCAGGACCGTCTTCAGGCGTGGGCCTGAGGGGTACTTGCCCGTGGGCCCCGTACTAATCTGTGTATGTTAACCCTTGGAAAATCGGAAAACTTCCAAAATTAACAGTAGCTGTCGTTGTCGTAGGGGCTTTGCTGTTAAGACGGCCCTGATCCCAAGATGCCTATGCAGCCAAATTGCAAGGGGCGCCTACCTGTTTCTTCCTCCACTTTGCGTCTTCACATTCCTCTCGGCACTGGTACCATAAGGGCAGATTTCACTCAGTAGATGCTCTGGTCTCTTCTCATCTTGTGTGGAGAGCTGAAAGAATGAAAGAAAAGCGACTGCGTGGGGCTTTTTTTTCCTATTTAAGGAAGAAGTGAACTGAAGTTTCCGTTTTCAGTTTTGTTGTTTCTTATTCGATGAAAAATTCTGTTCTTCTTTCCAAGCACTGGTGAGAGACAGCTGCCAAACCAAAAAACCAACAACACAAAAAAACGTACTGGTGGGTGTTCAGTGGCCAGGGTAAAGCAGAGCCTGTCACAGGCCATTTCTGCAGCTCTCCAAAAAGCCTTCCACAATGTATCAAATGGTTTGTACGCAGTGCTGATGGGTGCAGTCTGTTTGTTTACTTCCATAGGACCCACTAGCTGAAGCTGTCACAGCAATAATCAAAGTACAAAAAAGATACAATAGAAATGCAAATACAGTAAAACACAGTATAAACTTCCAATATACAAATGTTAAATTGCTTTAAAATTCGAATATACAAAAACATAAAAGTTTAGCATCTAAAACACTTTCATTAAAACTAATTAAAAGAGCTAACGTAACTCATAATAGGCCATTATATGACTGGGAATAAAGGGCAGTTTTGACCTGCTGCCAAAAAGATGGTAATGTTGGTGCTGGTATACAAAACCCTAAACAACATGGATACCTGAAAAAGCACCTTCTCCCTTACCAACCTCACCACTCACGGAGGTTATCAATATGTTTTTCATACATCTTTTTTATTCTTCTACCTCAGTTATCTTTTTGTTACTCATCACTTGGTAATCTGTCTCGATACTGGAGTGCCATGTGCTATCCATCAATAAATGCATCAATAAACGAATTTCCCCGGACCTTTTATGGCGAGGTTGTTGAGCCTCTTGGATGCACAGGCTTGATGTGCGCCCTTCATTTCTGACCTTTGCCCATGATGGGCAAACCATAAATGACCTTTGTGCAGAACTAAAGCAGTCTTTAATTCAGATTAATCAACACAGAGAGTACTCGCCAAGAAATGAGGTTTACACTGCATTGGCTGAACCTACCACAGGTTAATTTTGGAAGCAAAAATTACCCTGTCCTTGTTGTTATTATTACTGGGATTTTAAAGATCACACTGCAAGTGTTGATTAGCTTTGGCTGTGTTGGCTGTTCACAGTGCATCGATGCGATCAGCTGTCACTCACACGTCATGGAAGCCACCAGGGTCCTTTGCTTGAGGTCATGTGCCATCCAGGTCTTTTAAAATGCACACTGAGGCCAAGGTAAATTACAGCTTGTCATGCCGTGTGAACTCAGCCAGCATGGGTTGTTGGCCTGGTTAACAAGCCACCCACAACCCTAACACAACCTATGTGTGCTGCAACACTGACTTGGCAGCAAACGCTCTTCAGGAAGCTCCTTTCTTAGTCTGGGTTACCTGGAGAGGCTGTGGCTGAGCTACCAGCCCTTCTCCAAGCTGCAGCTCCTAGAGATTGTTGGACTCCGACTCCTGTCAGTCTCAGTCGGCAAGGGCAGCAGCCCCGGTGGTGGGTGGAGGAGGTGACGGGAGCTGAAGTGCAATAACATCTCCGTGGCTGCAGATTCCCAGCCTCTGCTCTAGAGGGTGGCAAAATATTGGCATCTGGAAAAGGGACGTGCTGGGGTGGACGGGGATTTCTTGGAGGGATGCCCCAGGGACGTGGCAGAGCACCATAAGCAACAGTCACAGGTCCCTGCCCCGAGAGGCATACGCAGGTCACAACCGAGCCAAGGGAGGACCGGGAGGGAGCGCTGAACGCAGCTCGCCTGCATCCCAGTGATTCGTGACGCAGACTTCGTCGTTTGAACGCTTGTGCTTTCCCCCCCCACGCCCCCCCGCCAATCCAGGCGAAGTGGAGCGCGCAGGAAGCGGCCCCTCCGCCCCCCTCCAAATAGCGGGCTGGGCTCTCGATCCGTCCGCACGCAGCTCCTCCACCTCTCGCGGCGGGCGACACGTACCCGATGCCCCGGATTTCGGCGTGCAAGGAGCAGAGGGCTCTGGCGGGGAGGGGGCGCGCGGGACCGTGTCTCTTGAAGCGGGAGCGCGCAGGGAGCTGAGCCCGGCTGCCGGAGCCGGCCGGGGGCTGCGATGGAGCCGCGCTCCCTGCCTCTGCGGCGGCTGCCCGGGGCGCTCGGGCTCCTGGCCGCCCTCCCGCCGCTGCTGCCGCTGCTGCTGCTGCTGCTGCCGCCCGCGCCCGGCTGGGGCAAGTACGTGAGAGGGAACATCAGCACCAAGGAGGTAAGCGGGCGCCCGGCCGGGCCGGCGGGCGGCGGGGCTACGCCGCCTCGGGTGCTGCGGAGCCCCGCGGGGCGCCGCAGGACGCGGGGCTCCGCGGCGCCCCCCCCCCCCAACGCGCCCCCCCCCCCCATCACCCCCACCACGACC